AGTCTAGAATTTATTATTGATTTATTAAAATAGTAACAAGAGTTATATATGGTATAAAAAATAGTATTACTAGTACTTTTTTATGGGTGACGATGAAATAGTTATCATGCCTGCGTCATCGGTACAAAGTTTATACAAGTACATTTTCTATTATATCTGTATGTGGTTGATTAATGAATAGGAATGTTTAAATTCCACCTTGCATGTTGTAATTATTCAACAATATAAAAGTTTAATAAATAAATTTTATTTACTAAATCTATACTAATATCATAAAGGATTTATTTTTTATTTTTAAACATAGTTTAAACTTAAAAACTATTCAACCCATTTTAAAACCTATAAAAAACTAATTAACTAATGAGTAAAATAGGCTATATATAATATGAAAAAGTTTAATACAATTTAATAACATTTTTTTTATTTAAGAACCTAATATCGCTTACTCGTAATGTAACAGAATTAAATATATTCAAACAAATAAATTTAAACCATTTCGATAACGATTTAATATAAATAATTATAACTTCCTTAAAAAATCAAAAATAAATTGTCTAAACCAGAAACTAATAGTATTTACACACTTCACATTTCAAATGTTAAGATATTTATTAGTTTGATAATTAATGAATTTATTTAAGCGTGTAAATTGACTATTTAGATTATAAATATATTTAATATATTCCTCATTAATTAACCATTTTGAGAGTATTGTTATCTAAATGATCAAAATTTTGTAAGTTCAAATCTGGCCGATACAACATATTTTGAATTATCAGGTCAATTTAAAGTTATTCAATTAATTTTTCGATAATAGAAAATACAATTAGTAAACTAAATTTATCTGGATGACATTGCAATTTATTTTTATTTTATATTGCTAAATTACGGATAAAATAGCAATTACCTTTCGTTTGTTCTTCATAGCCGTTGTTAATAATACTTTTATTTCACAATAAAAAAAAATTAGGTTTCAAGCAGGATAATTTTGTTAACGAACCATGACACCGACATGGTGCTTTAGATTTAAACCTATGAATTGATCCAGAAGTTTAAATGAATTTAAAATATCTTACTTTTTGAAGTCGTTTAAAATGCGGGATTACACACTTATAATCGAAACTTTAATTCTAGAGACAACAAGCTCGTATTGCTCGTATAAGCAACTATTGTTAACCGAAAAATTTGTTAAATGATATAATTCATCTATAAAATATTATAAAACAATAATATTAATAATACATAAAATATATATAATATATAAATATTACTAAATTATTTGTACTTAAAATTTAAATTTAAGTAACTCAAAAACTTTATTATTAAATATTAATACATTTTCCTATGAAAGACATCAACGCGCTACGTATGAACTGTAGAATAAATTTTTATTGAACAGCAAAGTTTTAAAATAAATTTATACTAAATTTATATTAAATAAATAAGTAAATTGTTATTTTTTATTATTTCAATGATAACAAATCTGTCAAGTTATTTAGAAAACAACATACATTTTTTAGATTGTACTTATGTAAAATAATAAAACATCTCATATGATATTATTACTATTCAATATGTGAAACATAAAAGCCTTTATAATATTCATAAAGTCCTAAGTAATTAATTAACCTTACTTGTTCATAAAATTTCTATAAACATTAATGTAAAATTTTCCTTTCTAATTAATTCCCAAGTAATTATTCGTGTTGACTTGTACGCGCTCGAGTTATTATATTCAATTTGCGCTTTTTCTCACCGCAGCTTTCATCCGAGGCCTATTTATGGTCCAGTTGCTATAGTTACGGAATGGACACGCGTCGTCGGATCGCGACAGGTTGTAACAGAAGTCACTTATTATAGGTTATATTATTTTGTATTATTCATTGTTAGCTATTTGGTAATCTCATATCTATAACTAGTCATCCGCCCCGGCTTCGCACGGTTAGATAGACAAATAAATCAGTGTTTAATATTAGCTTTAAAAAATAAATATCTTTAGAAGTCTATGTTAAACAGTGACAGTTAATAGCTGACAAGATGATGATGATTAGATTTATTGTATATATTTTTATACTTTAAATTGTATCTTTTTTTATACTTAAAATTGTATATTATCTAGGAACTACCAAATGACTTATTACAAACTACTAGGAAGGAATTGTTCGTAATACCCTAATGGGGTACCCCAATATACCCTATTAGGGTGACTTCCTCGTGATTCATTCTGCAAACTATCATGTTAAATTCTTGTGAAATTTATCACGATTGGCTAACTGACATCCTTACCTGTGGTCTCTCACTGGTGCAATCACCAGCGATACTGATAGCAGCAGGGTTACCATTCAATATTCACTTGTTAAAAAAAGAACTACAAACTACCGTCATGTTATGGTCACTCATATCTACCGTTAGATATATACGTGCACATGACAGTGAATAAATAAGTGGGCCAAACAAACAAGCCAATTGACATTTACTCGTAATTAAGTTAAAACCCAATATGGTACATCTAATATGTTAGTATTATAAATCTTGTTGACCACTATACTTGTATTTCCGATTTTAATTATATGTTCTTAAACGGCATAGTTCTCAGTGAAATCACCAAAATCGTACAGCCCAGAAACTCAAATATATCTCGTGTAATGTACACATTTGATATATTTCTTGGAAATCTTAGAAGAATGGATTTCGCATGGAAATAATGGGTTTATCAAATGTTTGCTAACCGTGTGATATTAAACATTTTAACTATAATCTTTACTTATTTATACTTCTTTACATTAGTGAAATATAACATAAATATTAAAAATATAATCCAAAACAATGAAGAAATAATTGTAATAAGCAATCTCAGTGATTAATCATCCTTTCATCTTTTCTCCTCTAGAGAAAAGATGAAAGGTAGTAAGTAGAAAGAATAAGATATTATATATATGCCTTATAAGTATAAGGCAAATAAAGAACGGTCCTCGGCCACCTGCATCTATTGACTTTCTGCAATGCGTTTGAAGTCCTTCCATATGCTAGTGTATGGGGGAGGCTTATGTTGAGCAATGGACAGATAATGGCTCAGATGGTGATGATGATAAGACAAATATTGTAAACGAATGTTTAAATATTTTCATATATTAATTTAATATATGTATTCGTAAGTAATATACAATTTTTGTATAGGCATTAACATTTTCCGAGATATAAATGTTCGTCTGATAATTTGTTACTTGCAGTTTTCTTTTTTAATTTATATATAGCGAAACAAATGAATATAAATTAGCCGTGTAGTCTGGACATAAAATAGGTCGCCCCTTCCTTTCCCGTAAGTGTTGTAAGAGAACTAAAGGAATATAATGTTTAAGGGATGGAAATAGCGTCCTTCTTAAAACACGATCAAAGCTTGTGGTTGCTGAATAGTTAGCGGCTGATAAGAAAGATATTCTTACTAACAACTCAGTCTTTTGTTGTGTTTGAGCCGAATAATTCAATTTTTATTTGAAACTGAATTATATATGATTCAATCATAAGTACTAGAATACAATGTAAAAGAATGTTCACAAAATACGCCGAGAATGTTGTCTATTAAATTGATTGAATTGTCTGAAATTAAACTTGTATACCAATTCGGTATTAATCCATTCTCTATAGTTGTATATCCAATCGATATTAAACCTCGAATTATTCGGACTTCCACGCAATCTTTTCTTTTAAACTTAATAATGGTCTCTTTAAACAAAATAAAAATTCTTTACGCCTAATTCGGGACAACCGAATATTATTAAGTAGTTATAACAGATTGGAAAGAAATATCGCGGTTATGTCTGTTTAGAATTTCAAGTCAATAATGTCTTCAATTTTGGTGCTTTATAAGTAGTAGTTTGCTGTAGACATTACACAAGGCCGATAAAATTACTTTTCGTGTATTTATTTATTTATTCATTACAAATATGTGTACATGGCGGACTTAATGCTAAAAGCATTCTCTCCCAGTCAACCATAGGGAAGTGTCAGAATACTCGAATGCGGTACTACTAATTATTGATGTACATACATACTAAAATTACATATATAAACGAATAAATATATATAAACAACAAATATACTTACACCATTATGTTTCCTTAATTGCCTCCTACTACACCTACGGGAAAGGAAGGGGTGGGCCACAATAAATACTATAAAAGTAAATATTATATATCCTCTGTTTATCTATCTATATATATACAGAGAATCATACATAGTGGTATTGGTATATGTCCACCAGTAGATTGATATAGGCTAAAACAATGATGATTATTATATTCGTGGATGTAGTAGGTAAAATAGTAGTTCTACTACAGAAACAGTGGTAGTAAACAGATGAATCATAGAATAGAAATAAAATCCGAGAATTGAGTTTAATTATAGCTATTTACATACTATAGTCTTAGTATTATTAAGTGTTATATATGAATTGAGCATTTCTAGGAAGTAAGGATATTTATATTAACTTGAATATAGATAAGAGATTGTTTAATTACAAATTAAAACTTACATAATTGTCATACTTTGAAAGTATGTATTTAAGTGACTCTTAATCGTTATTTTAAGAAAAAGACTAATCTCTAGTAAAATTATTTCGTAAGAGATATATCTTACTAGCTGCTTGCTTCATCTTCGCATAGATATACATTTTTCAACATTTTCTTTTATACAAAGCTCATCTTATATAAATCTTGACAATTAGATACACAATAAAATAGAAATTGGGAAAATACGAGTAGGTGCAGTTAAAGTGATGCGTTCACATACCTTTGACTTTTGATTTTTATTTATTATATATTATATATAATCTTATAAAATTGTCAATAGTTGTTTCGTAAGTTATTTTGTAATTGTAAGATAATTGCTTAATGGTTTCAACTATAATTAAAACTAAGTAGAGCCTTAGTTCACCTTGAAATTGCGAATTGTTTTGTGACTATTCTAGTTTCACTCATTAAATGAGAATATGAAACACCTACCTTATAGTCCGATATGTAAATATATTTATATTCACTATGTAATAAGTTAATTATATCACAAGTCACTCAGTGTGCTTTATTACCTATACACATTGCTTTTACTGTATATGGACACTATCACTCTCATCCACTCACAAAATATATGTTCTTATCTCTTATAATTGCTAATTACAGTTAGATAAATATATAATTAGTAATAATTATGTCCACTTTGCAGACAAATTGATTTTTATATATTGCTTTCACTACACTTTACCCAAAAGTTGTTATGTCAGTTTGTTTATATTTGTTCATATTATACAGCACGGGAAATGTGGTATTCCGACGACCCGTATTTGCGGATCGCATACGATTTTCCGGTAATCCGCCGAATCGGGACTTTCCACTTCATTTTCCCGACATCGCGTCACAGATTGTGCGCGAATGCGCGCGTGTGTGCGTTACAACCTGACAATACGCTTGCGTAGACGCAACTGAAATCACCTTGCAAGGCCCACTACAGCTTTCTCCCTCTAAACCTGTCTAGGTCTCGCTCTTGCGGGCATTGTGCTCTCCGACTGGCTTACTCGACTTGACAATAAATTACGTATAGGAATCTAATCAGTTTAATAGATGTGTGATTTTTTTTTAATTCTGACCACTTTAATGCCTCAGACAATGATCGGTCGCCGTACAAAAACATCAATTACGGTGAAAACCTTGTGGTCAAGATTACGCGGCTTGTACTTTTAAAACATACGTAGGTACGAGTAGGATGTAATTTGTATGGGATCTTTTCCTAATAATGCCTAATTATAGACGATTTAACACAATCTTTTTATAAATGTGTATGATAGAAACTAACCGTTGTAGTTAATTAAAAGTTAAACGAATATTAAAGTATTGAGATGTTGGTAAATTATTAGGTACGAGTTTTTTTAACCGATTAGACTAACTGTAAAGTGATTTTTTTATCACTTTCACAACAGGTCGGCGACTGAAATATGAATTATCATCGGTGACCTAACATGTACATTGCAATACTTTTTCTTTAATTATAGTAAACAAGTAGACGGCGCGTATCTAATTTATTATAATGTCGTTAATACTCAGCAATTATTAATTGGAAATAATCTATAAAAACCTGATTGTAATGATAAATTCAATTAATTTACCGGAATAAAAAATATCATTTTTCTTGATTTAGAGGCATTGTAGAGTAGCCTCGTTAGTTGATTGTTTTAGTTAATTGAAAAAAAGAAAAGGTTTTGTACAAAATAATCAATTTTTTATTACAGATTAATCGAATATGTATTATTACTACTATCCAATTTTATTTAATAATTGGCAACGCACTTGTGATAACTCTAGTGTTACAGTTGTCCTAATCTATCATAATTTGTATTTATTACATTACTTTCACAAAGAATAATATGTACAATATACATAATAGATTATAGTGTAAATGCACATATGTACCTTTTGGGCATTGTAATAGAAGCGAGTTATACAAAGCGAGAATAAGCCACCCCATTCTTTCGAGAGGGCGAGAGATAGACAGCAGCATCCCTCTTAAAACATCTCTAAAACCTAACTGCGGTTGCCAATTCGCACGCAAAACGTGGTAACTATTGTCAAAACCTCCTAAGGAAGAGGCTTATGTTTAACATTGGTCAATTAAAGCTTGTGATGAGATATAATGATGAATGGAAGTGAGAGAGATCTGATGTTTACATCATCACTCTCGATCAGAAAATTTATATTTATATAAGTATGTATGTCTGTTTGTATTGGTCTAGGTGTTTTCTATGTAAGGGTAATAATATGTGTATTACAAAAAAAAGTTGTATTTTTATAAATTTTTTAGCACCCATAGTAAAAGTCCTGCTTAATTTGAAACTAAGTGACGCTGTTTAATATTTCTAAGGATATTTAATATAATTATGTTAATACATGAACATTCACAGACTCATTAATAAATAAGACAAAAAAATAGTCTGCTATAAATTAAGATTTTATTAAAAATATTTGTTGATTTTACACTTTATTGCACATTTGTAAAATAATAAATACAATTAATTTTAATGAGAAATGATACAAAATGCGGCCTTATCGCTAAGTAACCTCTTTTAATTAGGTAATCTTAAGCAATTTATTTCAAGTTTTACAAAATTAGTACCGAACTAATAATAGAATTAACTTTATTGAATTAAAAAATCATTAAAATCGATTCTGAATCTGCAAAGTTGTCGCATAAAATATACACGTATAAAATAGAGTCGTATTGAAAATTTCCTGTTTTTGAAGTCTACTGAAAAGCAGACGTACTTGTGTTATGATATAATTAATCTTTTTATGATATAATTATCATAATTTATTTAATTATTAAATTTCAGGGCAATCGCTTTGTTTATCAAATGAAAATAGGTAATATGTTTGGTAAAAATATTAAACTGATAAATTTACGAATTTTAGAAAAGTATGATAATGCTTTTTGATAAGATTTATATGAAACGAAGAGTTATTCTTTTCTATACACGATAACATATGGTTGCCTACCTAAAATGACATCTAAAATTTTGTTGTAGATAGTAGTGCTATTAGTTCTATCACTACAATATTATAGTTATAGAACTAGTTCTTTTTGATATAGCCTACACTAGATGGTAGTTTATTCTTTTTCTTATACCATAAAATAAGGTTACCTATAAAAAAATATCATAAGCATCTGGTAACCCTAATTTGCGGCTAATTGAGAGCAGGAAATTTGCATGCATTGTTTTATGTTTTTATATTTCATTAAAATTTAATTTAATTTAAAAATCTCACATGTGCAAGAGTCATCAATAGGATCTTAGACTACTAGTTTTAAAATAATAACCCCAGCATACAATTGTTCAATTGCGCAACCAATCGGCAGAAAGACATGGATTGACAATTAAAAAAGGCGGTCACGAGATCTATTAAATGGAATTCCCACCGCGCAGACAGCTGTGATAATGACACTTAAAAAGCGTTTGTCTGTATATACTGTTTTTATCTATAGGCAGTAGCGCCACAGTACCAACTCCTTCTGTTGAACCACATTCAAAGTCAGGCGGTTCGAATTATTGATGATCAGCGCCTTACTATCCGACTCGACTCACTGCGTAGAGATATTGCATCTCTGTGCATTTTCTATTAAATATATCATGAGGAGTGCTCTGAGGAATTGTTCAGATTGATACCTGCTGCTGATTTTCAGCATCGTATAATCCGCCACAAATTAAAGTTTCATACCAACCATCTGGATTAGTGGCGGCCTCCACCATGCGTTTTTCAAGGCACTTCCTTCCCACGCACAACCACTCTTTGGAATCAACTTCCAGCAGCAGTATTACCGAATCAATACGATATCATTACCTTCAAGAGAAGAGAATATTCCTTTTTAAAAGGTCGGCAGTACACTTGCAATGCCTCTGGTGTGGCGGATGATCATGGATAGCAGTAGTCACTTACTATCAGGTGAGCCGCATGCTCGCCTTTCCCCTGTGTTTATAAAAAAAAGTATATTTATTGGACACAAATTAAAGCGTACGGCTTTGTCTATATATTTAATTTTAAAATGTTCTGTGTTAGTGAGCCGTCACGGTAATAAAATGAAGCTTTTGTTACTCCGGATAAAATTATTAATGACTAATAGACCTGTCTACAGGTGAAAAAAACATTAAAATCGGTTAAGATTATATTGTTTAGTAAACAAACGGAAATAAAATCTTCACTCTTTACAATATTGGTTTATTGCAATTATTTATGTGGGCTTTACTCGCGTTTCAAATTCGAGAAATCATTAGGAACCGCGCTCATTAATAGGGACTCCTATTAAGTTCGAAACTAGACTGGCGTCTACGAATTTAGAACGCGAGTAATGCCGACATAAATAATTGCAATACAGTATGACTCACGGTAGTTATTACTCAACAATATTAGTTTAATTTTAATTAGTTTTTAATAGCGATTTTGTCTGCTTGATCATGATGCATTAATAAACAGGCATAAAAATTGCCTAATCTTTCTGCATTGCAAATACTACGAGTATGTCAAATTTCATTACTGCTACTTGAACGGTACATAAATACTCACTTTCATATTTATAATTGTATGGATGTAATCATGGAATTATATATGTATATAATGATATATTGGTGTACTAAATTTCATTCGGAATTATTCAGTATATGAAAAACAAACAAAAATAAACCTCTTTAAAAACTTTCATTCATAAAATGTATTTTCCTTATTAAGAGGTGTCATTTAAATCAGTCCGCAGTTGAAATAAAAGAAATAGCGTAAAGTCATTTAAAAAAAGAACAATTTTTCTATATTTCTATCTTCTATAAGTTAGGTACAGAAAAGGGTATTTGTAGGTTCGTATTTGTAGAGGTTGCTGCCCTACATCTAGTGCTAATTTGATATTAATAATTGGGGGACGATAGTAATTGATAATTTTACAGAATAATTTATTTATATTTAATTATTTATATCTATTTATATCTCTATATTTTCCAACAAACTATTAAGTAGTTTGACCATTTCTGTAACGAGAACTACGTAATTTTGTTTATTTAATAAAATAAAAACAAAAAAATTACATGTAGAATATATTTAGTTTTTTACCTTTTATCAGCATAAGCACGATTTATAGTGATAGGTAGCTAGGTATATACCAGTTATCATCAATCTCATCATCAAGGTTAGAATGTACCAAAAAGCACCAAACACATTCACTTTCACATTTATATTATTAGTATAAATGTACAGACATCATCTTATTGTAATTTTATTATATGTATTATAGATTTAAACAAAACAGTGTTCCATTGTATTATTCATTTCTCTATTCAAACGGATCTATCATAGTGAAGTCAGCTTGCCAATCGCACCTGTGACTTGCACAATAGACGTATCTCCCTTATTACTAGTCATAGCGATTTTCACATAAGTGGAAATACAGGTTTGGATAGCACTCTTGGCAGAATGGCCAGTGCTAATAACAAAATACAGTATTACAAGTATCAATGTAATAGTAGTTTATGAAATAAAAATAAAGAACAACTTTTATAATCTTTAATTTTTTTTATAATACAGGGGTAAACGAGCGTACGGCTCACATGATGGTAAGTGACTAAAATACTTACTATAAATTTTACTAACAATTATAAAGATAAATTTATTTGAATAAACATGTGTATGCAGTAGATACATATTGGATATTTTAGTAATTCTACAGTTCTAACATGTCTTGTCTACATTATGTACATGTCTACATATATATACCAGAGGGAGACTTTGTACAAAAGTCGATTGCTTGGGTACCTCTATCCCAATCGTGTTTCAACCGTGAAGCAGTTGTGTTTGCATGGCTGTGTTTCGGTTTGAAGGGTGGGATATGGCGTGAATTTACTGGGTACAGAGGAATAACACCTGAGTCCTCAGGAAT